TGAGACTCCACACAGGTGAGCGACCATACGCATGTAATACATGTAGGAAGCGCTTCGCCCAAAAATGTGCCCTTGTTCGCCACGTGAGACTCCACACAGGTGAGCGACCATACGCATGTAGTACATGTAGAAAGCGCTTCATCACTAAAGCCGACCTTAACTATCACGTCAGCAAGGGGCACACAGCCGAGCAAGCATTTCTGTGTGATTTGTGCAATGAGAACTTTACTGACATGTCAAGTTTGAGCGCACATGTCGTCAGCCATATCATTTGATAGTGGCAAGTTAATTTTCGTTTCCTTTTGCGTGTTTTGTGCATAATTACTGTTTTTCGTTTGTGTTTTAAAGTGAGTTACGTTAAAATTGGTAGCAATAATATATTCTGTTGTAACCCCCCTTAGCTTCTGTTTACATGCATATTATGTTCCTGACACAAAATACTGTATGCAATCAATCTGAGAAATGTTTAAATATATTTATGTCGTACTGTTTTTTTTTCTTTTTTAATCCTGCTTGACAAGCGCCCTCTGAGTTTATAGAAACCCAATTGACACAAAAGCGCACTAAATTAAAATGTTTTGCACTTGTGGTGGGGCGGCGGTTTTCTCGGTTGTGGGAAAATAAAGGTCCACGAAATTTCTGAGTAATGGCTCGGAAATGAGGAGGGGGGGAAAGGTCGTTATGGACCGAGCTGTCATCGAGCGCAGTGCCGGCTCAGCCCATGTGGAGGCGCCCACCCGAAGAGGCCACGCGGAGGGTCCACCCTGACCGCCACACGGACCGCGCCGCCGTCCGCGCCACTTCTTGCTGTGCCCGGCCTGAAATGTGCGCCACTTTGAGTTGAAGGGGTCTGGACAAGAAGATGGTGGTGGGGGGCGGTGACAGGCTGTGGCGGTGGTGCGGGGGAGTTTCCAAAGAGGCCGCCTTCCCTGCTGGAGGAACTTGTGGGGGCGGGGGCTCGGGGCCCCGCCGCGTGGAGGCCGTGTGTCTGGATCGAAGGTGACCGCCGCCGGTGCGCGGCTGCATTGAAAACGCAATCAGTGTGTGAGTTTCGCTCACTTGCTGGCGTGTCAATGCCGATTCCTACACGAATAAAGGAAGCAAAGAAAGTATGAATTTTCTTTTGAAACTCACACACTTGTTCCACCATGTGTACGAATGGCGTTGACACACCTGCAAGTGTGCAACTTACTCACACTTGCAGGGTTTCCGGTGACCTCGTCGGTCGTCGAGAGCCACAGGTCCTGGTCCTGGAGGAGGTCCGGCGCGCGCGCGCGCGCGTGTGTGTGCGCCGGCCCGGCTCCCTTTGAGCGGCAGCCGATGACGGAGCGCCTGCAGGCCTGCAGGTGGGCAGTCCCGCAGTGCACGCCTGTGCGGCGGGCGTGCCCTGACCGCACGGCCGGGCGGCGCCCGCATGCCGGCCAGTCATTAGCACGCTAAACACGGCGCGTCCCGCCCGCAGCGCGCCCGGCTACTACTACTCGCAATCAGCGCGGCCAAAGCCCTGCGACGTGTGTGTGTGTGGTGCGCGCGTTTTAATTGCCGCCGCTCTGGCCGTCCTTCCTATTTGAGTTGTGAGCTTACGTTGTTTGACTAGAATTGTTTTGTTTTTTTATATTTCTGTTTGCAGCAGTTTCTGCCGACAGTTTAGACAGTTCACTGTTTGAAGATTCACTTCCCCGCGGCCGCGGAAAGCATCATTGATGCCGCCTGCGAGTCCCCCAATAATGTGTAATCTCAACTTTTTCGTCTCTCTCTGTCCGCGTCCGACTTCGTCACGACGCCGCCGATTGCTCCGGCCCGTAACGGAAGCGCAGCGTTTGTTGTGTCCTTTTCAAAAGACTGCATGCCAACAATGGAGGGCCGTCTCGACTCTTTGCTGTTTGTGTGAGAGAGTCGACTCTTCGCAGATAGCGGCGCAGTTCTCAATCGGCCCCCTGAAATGTGGAGTTGATGGGCTGCAATGCGGCAATCGAGGCGGCAATAGTTTTACCCAACTTATTCGGCCAGTCGATGATATCCCCTCCTCACGATCGCACGGTGAACGGCAGCTCTTCCACCCCGTCGTTGTGGTGGTGGTAACCGTTTCGTAATTACTTGCCGCAAAGACTTTGATTCCGTTTGTTGCGAACTTGTATTCCTATGCAAAAAGCCATCGACGGGCGCTCTCGCAAATCTGGGGCACGCAAGCATAGAGCGGTGCGGGGGGCGGCCCCGCCACCCCTCGCTGACACCCCTAAACCCTCGGCTCTACCGGCTGGACCACAATTATTGATTAGGGGTAACCCAGCCTCCCCCTCTATCTCCCGCTCGCACCCCTTCCGCCCCCCGCCCCACCCCTCTGCTATAAATAATGTATTTTAATGGAAACGCATGCCACCCGGGGGAGCGTGTCCACGCCCGGCCCGGCCTCCTCCGCACTCTGCCCCACGCCGCCGCCACCTGCCGGACTCGACCGCGCCCTTCACACCGAGCACCTTTCTGAAGCACCCGTCGCGCCCATAGCCCACCATTGCAAGCGTTATTGTGAAACTGCACGGGGTTTTAACAAATGTGTGACCTTTTTTTCTTGAGGAAAAAAATAAATAATAAACACTACTTAACTTGAGGAAACCGTCTCATATTTTAAAGAAACCTCTCAAAAGACATGCGGGAATTTCCCTCTCTTTTCATACAGGGATATACTCAGAATCTGAAAATATTTTTTAATCACAAGAAGTTCCATCACACGGTAAAAACAATGTCTCATTTTTTGAGGGAAAAGGGAAAAACTTTGAGAAATTCGTCTGGTTGGACGAAAACTCCTCAGATTTCGAGGAAGTTTCCTCCAAAAATGTGGGATTTTTCCTCATTTTCTGAGAAGATTCCTCAAAATCTGAGGCGAGATCGGAGGACTCCTCTTCAAACATGGGAGTCCCTCAAAGTTTTACCTTTTTCCTCAAAATATGAGACATTGTTTTTACCGTGCACAAGTTTTCCTCCTTTCCTACAAAATAAAATCGGCCATTTTTTACTTTATATAAACCACTTAGTTTAAACTGTAGAACTACACTGTAAAATGCATGCAAAGCTATGTTTCAAAGAATTTTCTAGCTTTCAAAGAAACACTTTTGTATAAAAATGCTTCAAAATTCTTTGCAAGCTGCAAAGGAAATGGTTCGCAATACGAACTTGTTCTTTGCAAGCCTTTTGCACAAATGGGTTTTATGAACCTGTCTTGCTTGTAGTTAAGCCCAGTACTTATAAGGCCCGACTAAAAGGGTTCGGCGACACTAGTCTGCATCAAGCAATTTACTGCTTTTTGAATATCCAAGCGACTTGAACAGGCGCGCGTGTGCTCCCTGAAGCGCCTGCTGCTTTATCTCTCGCACGCACGCACTCAACGCTCAAACAAAAAGGGGAGGGGGGGCGCTCATTCAAATGTGTACCTGCGCCGCGCCCAGACGGGACTGCTGACAAAGTGGTGGCACTGGAGAGAGGGGGAGAGGGGCACAAGCTCGGCAGACAGGTCGAAATGTGTTGTCCCCCGCGCGATTAGAATCAATTCATAATTCCAAAGGGGAAATAAGAATCGTGCCGGCCATACCGAATATCGCTGCAAGCAAGGGGGGCCCGGCCGCCTCCCCCAGTCGGAAGCTGTTCTCTCTCTCTCGCTCCTTCTCTCTCTATAGCCGTCTCCTGCAGCTACGGCGCGGTGTCGTCTGCTCGGGA